AGAGCATTCGCTGCTTCGACGTAGCTGATGATGTCGTTAGCTTCACCCTGCTGATTTGCGCTTTGTCTGAAACAGACTGTTAATAGAATTTCAACAGCTTTCAACAATATTTACTTTTTCTTACTGCGCTATTTGAAAGGCAACTACTCCAGGCGCAGTCTGTAGCGCGCCCCAGGTGTGCACTCGTGATCCCTGCAAACAGTAGGGCGTGAGACGCGGTGCGTGGAGCTCAGCCAGGGCAACCTTGCTCTATCAGTGAAGCCATCCTGGGTCCGCTACAGCTGTCAAGAAATCCGCCCTAGAAAGCGCTTCAAACCAAGCTCCCTTTATACGCCCTATCGTTTGCAGGGATGACTGTATGTGTAGCTAGTCAGCCGGGCAGCATCAAAAGGGCCCGTGGCGTTCCCACCACTGGTTGTTTTCTTCCCAACCACTCACCGATCGCTTGTGATAGAGCAGCGGAGCGGGCTCATTCCGCCTCTCCTGCCACAGCCCCGACTGACTGCGACGTTACCAACTATGCAACTATGTTGCGAAGGGATGTAATGCTCGACTTCACAGTACAAATTCTCGTGAGCCCATAACCCCGAAGGGCGTTAGAAAACTCGTTGTGCAAAACTGGGATTACCATTATCTGAAGAGAAACGCCGTACTTCAAATTGGTTCACCTACATTGGAGCCCCTTCCCGCTCAAGGCCAAGGCGAAAAGTCATTATCTGCATTAAGGGAATTCTAGTTTACTATCATGTCTCCACTAAATGCTTTCTCTCTCCGCGGATGTCAGAGCTAATTCATGCTCGAATTCTGCTCTAATAGTGAGAAGCAAACTGCGCTAGAAAATAAGCTTGAATTCCCAAAATGGTAATGCAGTAAACGGTATATACGTATGCTTAGCGCAGAAATAGATAAACATCTGTTCCAAACTAACGCTGAGTGATGAACTGATAGTGAGCATAGAATCCAGTCGCGTCAAAGATATCGTTGGTTGCAAAAATCATTCGGAAGTAGTTCGATTCGGATAGAATCGGTCCCCGTGGTGCAACCTGGAATGTGAAAGGAATGAGCATACCGTCATGTCTGGCTGACCGCAGCTTCTTTCAAGCTGCGATAGCAAAATGTGTGCTGTCCTCCCTACCTTGCCACAAAATCGGCGATTTGTGCGATCGTGTGTTTGATAATTGCTGAACAAGACGAAGTCACTTTGCGTGGTCTCATCACATCTGAAACAATATGTTGAAAAAAAGTGTAGTAAAAAAGTAATATGCTGGTAGGCTCTTGGTGTGTGTGAATCTACATTTACAAGGCTGTTAGACTGGCTCACTTCAAAGGTACTGTACACGATAAAAAAAGGTGGTGGGGTTTCTACCACCTCGTACAACTCCTCATTGGTCATTTCTTCTCTTCGAAGGAAGATGTTAACGGGGATTGAAAAATCCGTCAATACCCCTTTCTGGAACTTTACATGGGTGTTTGTATCGAATTATAAATAGGTTTCAATGCGCGTTGCTAGTTCCGGTGAAAGAGACCTCGCGAACGGAAGTCGTTCGTGCTACAACCCAGTCGAGTTAAGTGGCAGCGCTGCTTTGTTTCAAGTAAACTATAATAACTAGCAGGGCCCGTCGTATGTTGGCATTCTAGCGAGTGAGTCGTAC